TGATGGTGTTGTCGCCGCTGCTCCTGCTGATTGATTATGATAATCATGGATAATAGTGATGATGTCAAAGATAATTTAGATGATGACGATGATGACGATGATAATGTTGATGATGACTAGATTAAGGAAAAACATGACAGGGCCTGCACTGACCAGAATTTTTCTGTAGCCAAATTTACCTTATTTATTTTTAATTTTGCACTCTATACAACAAAATTGGTTACAAATTAGCAAAATTCTGTTAGCAACTTGTCAATGAGCAACATTTCAGCTTTAGACAAAGTGAGCCCTGTATTGTTATGAAAATGATGTTCAGTTTCATAACAGTTTTCGTACATTAACATATTAGCATTTATCAGGAGTGAATACACCGGAAGCTTCTATAGTCTGTCCCATTAAAAATGGAAATGAATTTTTGCCTGGTATGAAATAACAAAACGACGTTGAATAAAAAATAAAACGTTTTTGTAAACTAAAAAAAAGTCACCCTCGAGATTTTTCAGGATTTTATTCTAAAGTGTCTACTTTTCTTGTGAAAGCAAATTTTGATTTCTCTATAGTAAATCTCTGTTGTTTATTTTCCGTAGCCATTGTCGAAATACTCTTCATTTGAAGATGAACGGGAGAAAGCACGTGTCATGTTTTTAAAATATACATGATGTTCTTGGGGTCGTTTCATGATAATTTTGCAAAGCTGGATCTACAAGATGTAACAATTTAGTTGCAATGTGTGATGTAGATCTAAAACTTTAAAAAAAATAAAAATAAGCAACAATAACACCGAGTCACATGGATTAGATCTAGAAATTGCACTTACTTTTAAGCTAAACAGAATCCCTATGAACTGTATAAACGTCACGGCAAATGTGCATTCTGAAGTTTCCTACATTGCCAGTTTCTATCCAGTTCCGTAGATCCCATTTTTTTTACTTTAAAACTCCTGAATGACATGACTCCTACACTTTTGATGCTCCAGATTTTTTAAACTGATAATCTGTCTCATTATTAAAACATTGTTCAATTTGTGGAATTATCTGGGTTAGCAAATGAAATATGTAAATGAAACACATCATAATTCAGCATGTTCCAAATCCATAATTCAAGAACGGCCCATCAATTTTAGTGTCAACATCACAATGCTTATGGATTCCTGACGAAAAAAAATTATAACGTCAACAACAATTGACGAAATATATGACGTAACAAAAATGCCTCGCGCTTTTTATGGATGATTCCAGTTGCGGCATTGACAGAGGGCGGTTAGGCATATGTAACTTCAAACAGATAATTTTAAGGGTTGAGATAAATTTGTCTTGATGACATTTAAAATAATTTTGTATACCCAGATTTTGCAACTTAACTGTAAAAATTACACCTTCAATACATGTATTAATAATATAAAACTTTTGATAACATTTAAATATAATTTTAAACACACTTAATTACATGAATCTACAACACGTCGCCTTATTCTAAAAATTTCCTAACTCCATTTTTACCAAAAATGAGATAACTGCACATTTATTTTAGTATTAGTTTGTTCTATCTCCAAAACAAAACTTGTGAAGATTTACGTCATACTTTTGTAGATATAGCGTCTGTATTTTGTTCTATGTCCAATGGAAAGCTTTGCTGTTAGCCTTTTTTCGTCGTATCTCCAACCACATGTAACACTTTTTAGGCTAATCTTTCGTGCCAGCCAATCAAGTTGAAAAAATATATGTCATGTGACCTGAAGGGGCCTGACAATATAATTGTTCTAACTCCAGTGATAACAACAACAATCGTATCTTAATCAGCCAGCTAACTAGGGAAAGTAACAGTTAAAAATGATTTCTGAAGCATGTAAGTAATATATTTTTAGCTTTTATACGTTTTATAAGTGAATTTATAGTTTGTATTAGTATTTGTTCATAGTATTATCATTATTTTATATATATTTCTCAAAGTTTCACAATCACATAGTTTCGGGATAACTATATTCGGATATTCGTATGAACTATTTGGAACCATTTGGAGTATCGAACATTGTTGTTGTTTAATTGTTAATGATAATATTTTGTCCATTTCAGGTCAGACTTACTTTACATTATCAGACGTTGTCCTTACAGAAATGTTGTCTCTTAGAACTTGTGACTGCAGTTAGCAGAACTTCCACAAAACTATGGAATTTTATATCAACAACATCAAGTCTGTGGGGAAGTTTTGACTTGCCATCAGTTTCAGATAAAATCATTGTTTTAAGTCTTAAAATATTCACAAAATAAATAGATATTTAACATTCCAATGGGATCGGAATACCACTGTCTTGTCAAAACATAGATTTTAAGTTTGCATGCGAGTTTCAGTGTTCTCCGGGTCATCAATGATTATATTTATTAGATAATAGCAGAATTCTTAAAGCACAATACGGCATGATCTAAAATGTTGCCGGGCTCGGTTTGATTTAGCCTGTTCATGGAATGTCCAGTATCTACGTTGTGCGACAAAAAACCAATATGGGAGATCGCAAAATTCACTGGATGTAAAATCTTGAAAACGACGATTTTGCAATTTTTAAAAGATTGTTAAGAACTTGAGCAGATATTTTTTCATACGTTGATATTAAACCACAAACAATACTTGAGACTTTGAATGCATGTGGTATTGACTTTTAATGGTGTTGAATTAAAAAGAATTATTGGTAACATTTTAACATTGATAGAAACGATGGCAAATGTAAACTATGTATATATAACTCTATTGAATCAGAATACCACTTCCTTTTATGTTGTCCAATTTATACTGTTACAAGAACCAAATATTTAGGAAACATTTCATGGCCTACTATACAAACATTTTCGACTACATGTATATTGTCCACTAAATAACAAAAACTTATTCTTAAATGTGCTCACTATGTTCATAATGCATTTAAGTTGAGGCAACAGTCTCTTGAAGATGGTAGCTGCTTCTTAATTAGTTTCATTCTTGTTCTCTTTTTGTTATATATTGTATGATGTAATGTTTTGTAACTATTTAACTTTTGGCCATATTTTTCATGATACTCTGTTAATGGCCGAAGGTAATGTTTATTTGCCGATTTGCCAATAAAATGAAATTGAAAATGGTAATATAATTTATATCTGTATCATTTAATCACAATATTAGAGATGGTAACAATTCATTTCATTTTTCATAATGGTTCAAAATATGTCAGTTTGTTTTAGCAAGTTCATTGATTTAAAAATTTTGTAAAATGTTTGTTTTTTCTTTTTTATGGCACAATTTTATATTGTTATTATCGAGAAAGGCCCACGTTGGAGATCACGTGAATGAATTTACACTTTGACATAGTAATTTACGAAGATAAAGTGATTCAGTGACAGCGGTTCAACCACTCTGGCTGAAAATGTTCTTTAGAATTGTAAAAATCTACTAATATTCTATAGTAAAATTATTACTCTTAAAAAAATGCTAACTCAAAAAGTATTTACAATTTTTAGCCTTACTTTGTCATATCTCCGCAAACTCATTTTTTAGAGTAATTTTTTAATCTAAAAATAAACATTTTTTTGGTCTATCTCCAAATTTTTTTTTTTAATTTTTTACAATTACTGCAAAATTATAAAGGTATATAACAAAGTGCTTTCATCACATGTTGACATCTATAATACCAATCCAGAAGTCCACACTGTTAGGAGTTATTAAATAAAAGTTACAACGTCTTGAACCTTTAACCCCTTTTTCCCAAAAAAGAGGAAATTGTAGATACACCATTTTTAGAATAGGGCGACGAACAGTACAATATTTTTTCCATTAATTACATATAACATTCGTTTTGATTTTATGTTTTTAAACTATTTTATATATTTCTCAGAAATAATTTCCCTACATATTATCTCGTTATTCAAGACTTCAGTAAATCCTACTCTTTTAGCTACAAAATATACAATACGCGGTATTTTTTCTGCCGCGAAAAATATGCTAGAACTATTGTTTTTTTCACTAAATATTTTCAAATTTTAGGAAGGCTAAACTGATTGAGAACGTCACTCGGTGTTTCTCTTTGACTCATATAAACATAATAATGATATGTTACACTTTGCGTCTACAAAAAAAAAAACAAAAAAAAACACACTTATTGTCGCTTATTGAACACTCCAATTTAAACTTACTCTTAATAATATCAAATCACTGCCGGTATTTCTGGACATTTTGTTGAATTGTGAGACGGAAAGTTACATCTGAAATTACGAGCTTAAAGTGTGCTGTATAGGCCTACGTTTGATTGCTTAAACTAGAAAGCATGATATTATTTTCTTATAATTTACATTTTCCTCGAACGCGAGTCTGTGTTCTCTCGTTAGCGAGGGAGTTAGATAAAGTAGACACTGTGGTTACAAGCAAACCAATGCTCAACGTATAGTGAATCAGTTTTCCTTTCTTTATATTTTTGTCAGATTTGCATGATAATGTAGTATTTGTTGGTGATTTCTTGTGAAAGTTTGAAACCTACGGAAAAGTTTAGCGCACGAACATCGCACCCGAAATAAGAAGGGTAACATATTTTTGTATCCCATCGAACCTGGTCAATTTATTTATTTTTGAATAGATACTTATGGACAGAATTCAGACTACAGAACTACAGAATTATAAAACATTAATTAGCGAAGAACCATTTTTATAGTCTTCTAGCTAGTGTTCCCGCTCCCCTACGACGCGTTGCGGTATTCAAGATGCGCACTTGATTGAAAAGCTATCTAATATCAAATCACTTCATTGTTCTTTTTCTCTAAAAAATATATATTAAACGACAGTATATCATGGTAATTAAGGTAGACCAACCCTAATGCCTTCGGCAAAGTTCGTTCGATGACGGTTATTTACGTGTTCGAATTCGGCTACGGCCGGGAATTTCCGTTAATTTCCGAAAAGAACGTGACATGTAAACTTCTGGTAAGCGGAGTCATGAGTTTACGCGACAAATATGGACGCTTTTCGAGTAAACGGAAAAGAAAATGTGGAAACATGTTATAGGTACCGATTTTGCTGATGAAATTAAAGACCAAACATCTGAATTACACAAGGAAAACAGTCAGACCTGGAAAAATGGTAGGCGTCTTGTGGAATTCGACGTTTTACTCACCAATCTACGATTGTGTAAATCGTGCCGACATGGACCTGTGCCGTTTATAGAAAATAATATATGTGGCGAACTACAGCAGGGACTAAGTGGCTACCTTTATGTTAGGTGTTCTGACTGCGGATATGTAAACCGTGTTGCCCACGGGAAAACACACCGTGTGAAAAGGAAGGGGATGCCCTGTTTTGATGTAAACACAAAACTTGGAACAGTTAAACAAATTAATTATGCGAATATCTTCAGTTTTGGTACTTTATAACCAATGTGTCACTTTTTACATTATGATACCTATGGAATTTTCATAGTTAGTAAGTAACACACGTCACCATTTTATGAAACTCGCATTGTTTTTAACTGTTAAACAATTAATGAAATTTTGATGTAACTTAAACACTGAGTAAGTTGGTTTCTTTATTGTTAATTCATTGATGATTATCTGTAAACTATTATTTGTATACGATGTATTTGATACGCTGAAGGGATTGATTATTTTGTACACTTTATATTCTTTTCGTCCTTGATCATTTCGTAACTAACAGTATTGCATTTTTATTATTTTATGACACAAGAAATTAGCTAGCAAGAAACCAAAAAGCTTGTAATTTTTGTCATAATTTTTTGTTGTGGTTGAATTTAATTTGCGTGTTTATATTTTCTAATGAATTATGTTTTCAGCAATGATTGATAGCTTAGGTGGACCCGTCAGAGTGAACAATGTCCTGTCAGCATTGAATTTGAAGACCATAAGCGATAAAAACTTGCAAAAGATGGAGAAACGTGCTGGTGAAGTGATTGAGTGTTTGGCAGAGGAATCGACTAGCACTGCTGCCAAAGAAGTGTACAGAAAGGAGATGGAGTAAGTACAAAGATATTGTATTATTGCACTCTCAGTTTTCTTCTTAAACCTCATTTTAATTTTTTTATGTATTTCATAATTACAAAGAGCAAACATAATATCAGTGACACTTGGCGTTTGCAAGGGCTGCTTTGATGTTTATAAATATATAAACATGAGGAGTTAGTTTCATATATTAAAAGGTATTCTGTCTCTGTTCTGTTTAGAGTGACTGTATAATATTTTGATTGTTAAATACAGCATAAAATTGTGCAATTGTTTGTTAATATTTTATTAAGAAATAAGTTATCCCAAATAGTGATTTTATCGCTCATTAACATCACTGATTGGATTTTGGATGCGAGGAATTTCATCACAAGGGCATAGCCCGAGTGCTATTATGATGCGCATCCGAACGGCAAACAGTAAATCAAGCGATAAAATCACCAATTTGGATATATTATTTTGATTTAAACACGACATCAACAAATAAATGCTGCCGTACCTGATATTTAGCTAAATTGCGCCTGATTTGTTTCCGTACTTATTTGCAGCACGTCACATTATTAATGGTAACGTCAGATTATTATGATAACGACACATGTCTAAATATAGAATGTCAACCTGTGATTTTATTGCATAAGAACACGTATTTTTGGTTGTTCTATGTTCAATAGGGAAAAATACGGGTTGTGTTAGAATATAAAATGATTAACACTTTCCAAAAATGTAAACATCTATTTTGACAATTGCCTTAACAGGGATATTGCCCATCAGGAATCAGTAGAAGCATTGACAGTTATGAAGGACATTATAGAAGACCTAGGAGTGTGTCCACTTCCTGATAGTTCTCCATCAGTAAGGTATACCTTTTGCTATTTAGAGTATTTTCGATTTATCTAAAATCTATTAATTACCGATATAATACAGAAATTTTTATTGGTTAATCTGTTGGGTCATTCTTTAGGTGTTTGTATTTTTCGGGTCACTGATTTAGTTGTATTCCTACGCGTTGTTATAAATTCAGTCATCTTTTCGCGGTCTTTACAGTTCTTAGACACATTTTGGTTGATACAGATCTTTTTTCGCTAGTCTGTTTATCTAGTTACCACAGGGTTTTACTGTGCCCGTCTTGTGCTAAAGAAGTTTTCATTTGTTTGTGGAGCGGTCTACATATATCACGATGAGTTAGAAAGTTGCAGGGACCAGTTATTTATATATTGTTTTTGACTTGCTTCTTATTAGGAAGGTAACTTTTTATTTGTTTGAATTGAACAATGCCTCAGGAAAGGAAATCAGAAAGGGTTAAAGATAACCCAGACTATAAAGCTTTGCATGAGGGAAGAGATGTTATAACACCTACTACAGATGTTACGAAAATTTCAACCGCCTCCAAATTAACTCTTACTCCCCCGCCAAAGAACCCGGATAAAAGCGGTGATTTTGATCCAATTGAACTTGAGAAAAAAGCTCTCAACGATAAACTTAAAAGTTTGGCAACTGCTGAAAAGCGTTTGAAAGAACAGGAGGAGTTATTTGCTTTACGCAGACAAGTTCACGAACGGGAATTATACATACAATCTCTAGAAAAATCCGTAGCGACGGTTGCAGGTGTTTCGGATGTTTCCAATTCGGATATGGGTATTGTCGGCGGTGCTAGGCCAAAGACGAAAATTCCACTAATTTCATCAGGATCTTCTACTGAGGTTCGTGGTTTTCATGGGACAGTTCTGGGAAGGAAAGGTACAACAGAGCAAGCTGACACATCTGGATCCAAAGGTACGACTCAGTTTAACATTAACACTCTTCGTGATATGCCTAATTTGAGAAATAAGGCAAGAAAAGAGCTCAAATCTTTAGGAGTAGTGCTTCATTCGTCATCTTCAGATTCAGATTCTTCTAATAGTTCAGAACGTTCAATCAGTTCTGGCTCTTCTGACGTGCAGGATTTTGACAATATTACCAGGAACAAAAAACATAAAAAACATAAACACAAAAATAAATCTGGTATCACTTCCAAAGCTTCAGATTCAGTTAAAGTCAAGCAAAAATATTCTCATTCAAACTTAAGATTTGATTTTGTTAGTAGAAATATCACTTTTGACAAATTGGAATTTAATCTTTTTATAGCTGGGGAGTTAGAGATAATATCTAATTCAAAAATTAATCCTGTTGAGAAAGAAGGGAGAATTTTGTTGCTTAAAAAATTGATGTATCTCAATTCATCTTATGAATTTTCAGTTATTAAATCCCTCTATGCAGCTATTTTGCGGGAAATAGAATTAGGATTAGGCAGTTGGGGTGATGATTTTACTTATGTTGAAACAGCCGTTTTGTCCAGGTACAGGATTCGAACCAAGAATCAATCTGAACCAGTCTTACAGTTGAGACCTCGATACTCCTCTTCTCAAACAAATGTTTTTCAATCAAACTTTGGAGGTCATGATGATACAAAAATTTGGTTTTGTTCAAAATATCAGAGGAATAAATGCTCCTTTAAGTCCTCTCATGTTGTTACTACAAAAAATGGAAAATCAAGATTTGCCAAACACATATGTGCTTCTTGTTGGCAATTAGATAAAAAAAGAGCTTGATCATCCAGAGTGTTCATCGGCATGTCCTCACGCATCTGGTTGACTATCAAATGGTCTTTGGTCCAATAGTTATTTTCATGGTAATGGAATAATTGATCTGTTTCTTCCTAGTTTTTGTCTAAATCCCCCTCATAGAGATGAGAAGAATAGTATTTCTTGTTTTTGTAAACATTCTTCCAAATGTGAGGTTTGTTCTTCAGTAAAGGTTAATTTGACGCAGTCTTCCCTTGACAAGGTTAAAATTCATAATGAAGTTATCGTTTCAGGTAAATTCAATTATGCAGGTTGTAAAATTCCAGTTAATGAAAAAATTGATACTCAGTTTATGAGAAGAATGTTGCAGGGTTATAATGACTTATTAGTCTGTGACTTATTGAAATTTGGTTTCCCAATTGAATTGAATCAAGATGATAGTTCTAAATTATTTTCTTTTCAAACACCAATTGTTAAAAATCATTCAGGGGCAAAGAATTTTCCTAAAGACATGGTCAAATATTTCAAAAAGGAGGCTTTACATGAAGCCATAATTGGTCCATTTAGTGATTGTCCTTTTTCAGATGGAATGGTTATTTCACCTTTGAACTCTGTGCCAAAATCTAATCCTAGTGAACGCCGTATTATTTTGGATTTAAGTTTTCCTAAGAATGGCAATGGAGTAAATAATTTTGTTTCTAAGGATTGGTATTTGGGAGAAAAAGTAGATTTAATATTTCCAAAAATTGATGATTTTGCTGCTTTAATTAAAGCTAAAGGTTCAGGGTGTTTAATGTATAAATTAGATCTTACTCGGGCTTATAGACAAATTAGTATATGCCCGTCCAGTTACAATCTTGTTGGTTTCTCTTGGAATGGTCACATTTTTTTGACACTGTTCTTTCTATGGGCTTGAGATCTGCTGCTCATATATGCCAAAGGGTAACAAATGCGTTTGCCTTTATGATGTATAATTCTTGTTTCTGTACATTAAATTATTTAGATGAATTTGGTGGTGCTGAGAATAAAGAAGATGCCTTTTTGCCTTTTCTCTCCTTAGGAGTTTATTGTTTAAAAGTGGTATTGAGGAAGCTTTCGATAAAGCTTGTCCCCCCTCTGAGATTATGGTATTTTTAGGGGTTTTATTTAATAGTCGGAAGATGACTATGGAAGTGACAGAAAAGAGACTTGCGGAAATTAGATTATTGGTAGATATTTGGTTATCAAAAAATACAGCTTCATTAAAAGAAATTCAGAAGTTGTTAGGTAAACTTAATTTCGTTGGAGCATGTGTAAAGTCTAGCAGAGTTTTCATAAACCGTATTTTAAACTGGTTAAGAGATTGTTATGCTAGTAATGAAAGTCACTCTGCTAATCATATAATCCCCCAAGAGGTCAAGAAAGATTTACTTTGGTGGTCTAGATTTCTTCCTTTGTATAATGGCATTTCTTTAATTGACTATGGAGAATGGTCACTAGTGGATGAGGTTTTCAGTTCTGACAGCTGCTTAACCGGTTGCGGTGGCATTTGCGGCAATCAGTATTTTCATTGTGTTTTTCCAGAATTTATTCTTCAGCAAAATTTAAGTATTACTTGCTTAGAAATGTTGGCAGTAGTAGTAGCTGTTAAGTTATGGTGTGTTAGATTGAAGAAAAAGAAAATTGTGGTGTATTGTGACAATCTCAGTGTATGTATATTGTTGAATACAGGGAAATCTAAAGTTGAATTTCTACAAAAATGTCTGCGTGAATTATGTTTGGTAACCTCATTATATGAATTTCAATTAAAAGCAGTTCATATAAGTAGCACTGAAAATCGTGTGTCAGATTGTTTATCTAGGTGGCATTTGGATGAAAAGTATAGGTCAGAATTTTATCAGCAAGTACCGTATACTTCTATGGAAAGTATCACTCTTGGTGATATTTTCTTTAAATTTCAATATGATTGGTAATTAATTTGTTTTTTCAGATTCAGAGATTAATACATTGAAAAAGGATCTCAGGCATTCTACAGCTTCTGCATTTGCAGTTGGTTCTAACAAGAATTTGAAAATTCAATGGGAAAGTTTCATTCTTTTTTGCTTGTATTTCAATTTGTGTTTTTTGCCAGCATCTACTTGTACTTTGAGGTTATACGCTCAATTTCTTAGTAGGTCATTTAAGTCGGTAGACAGTATTAGAAATTACATCAGTGGTGTTAAAACTCTTCATCTAATATTGGGTTATGATATAGATCATATAAATTCATATTTGTTGAATTTATCTTTAAGAGGCATCCAAAGACTAAATCCTCATCACATAAAAAGAGCTGAACCTATTACTTTAGATATTTTATTTTCTATTCATAAAGTTTTGGATTTTACAGTATCTGATAACGTAGTTTATTGGTGTCTCTTTCTTTTTGCCTTTTTCCTAGCTGCCAGAAAATTAAATCTGGTTCCTTCGTCTTCTCTAGATATTTATAAAGGAATGTTTCTTAATGCCAAACATGTGCATTTTCATGGTAATTATATTCTTGTACATTTCAACTGGTCTAAAACGATTCAATTTGAGGAAAGAAAAATCATTTGTCCACTTGTTAGATTAAAGGACAAAAGGATTTGTCCTGTTTTAGCATATGAGCGTTTAATTAATCTTAATATAGAACAGTGTAATGATGCATTGTTTTCCTTGTCACATGATTCTTTCATCTCTTATTACATGTTCCAAAAGAAATTGCGTCAATGTATTTCTTTAATAGGTTTAGACCCTAAAAAAATTTTTCCACTCATTCCTTTAGAAGGGGTTTTGCGACCTTAGCCTTTAAATCTGACATTCCACCTGAACATATACAACTAATTGGTGATTGGAAGTCAGACGCTTATAAGCTTTATCTTGAATTAGATTGGTCTGATAAAGTTAATATTCTATGTAAAATGTTTGATACCTTGGATGGTTAAGGTTATGTACATGTACAATAGAATTCATAGTGTCTCTTTACTCTTGCAGATATCACGGTCTACATCTTGTCAGATTCAATAGCTAAGAATATAGAGGGAATTAATCGTGCTGAAGTGATTCCTTTTCCGGGGATTAATTTGTGCAGATTAACGGCTAAAATTGACAAATTTCATGCTCTGGTGTCTAAACCTGTTACTATTATTCATGTAGGTACTAATGATATCCAATTTTATTCAGCTGATGAAATCATTAGTTTGTTTTGTAATTTAATTGCCAGAATTAGAAAGGTTTCTCAGACACATTTGATTTTTTCGAGTATCCTTCCTAGACCTTGTGATTATGATATTTCCCATTGTAAAGTCAAGGAGGTCAATAAGGGTTTACAGGAGCTTTGCAAACGCAAAAAATGTCAATTTGTAGCTTCCTACAGACCTTTTTATAGGTTTGGTCTCCCTAGGCGAGAATTATTTGCAGTTAGGGATAAAGGTTTACATCTTAATTCTGAAGGAGATGCTGTGCTCAAATCTGTTTTTATTAATACAGTGTCTCATGTTCTCAAGGGTAAATTTGCTATGTAATATATTTATTTTTCATAGTATGATGTTATTTTGTGATTGGTGTTCAAGGAAATATAGTTTGAGTTTGTAGAATATTATATATTTACAAATGTGTTCTAGAATATGTTTCCTTTGTAAATTGTGTTGGTGACAACCTTTTGAAATAGTAATCATATTTCATGGGTTTTAGTACTGTGTAACAGTAGTCATGTTACCTGTATGGCTTGATTTCTTGAGAAGGAATTAACTTCTCAGAGTCTCGAGAACCTGTGGTAAGGACCGTGAAGGGTGACTTTACTCTGGTTTTCTCTTAGTCATATAATTTGTATTCAATTGCTTTTGTATAATGTACATATGTATATTGTGTTAACTTAATTTATATATTTGCTTAATTTATATGTTGGATTCTTAATATATCCACATGTATATATGTTTAATTTTTTCTTTCATTAGGTATACAGAACTTTGATGACTTTGTATGTAAGTTTGTAAATCATTTTGTTTTGTTTGCTTTGCTTTTGCTTTATTTTTGGCCTGGGTTGGGCGATTTTTGATCTGTGTTCATTTAATTCTATATTTTCATTGGTCTGAAATTAATCATAATTATATCTGTTCAAGTTGATGATTTGTCTTACCTTTAGACTGATTGCATAGTACATTTCATTGTTTATTCAGACATCACTTTAGTGTTTATTTGATATATAGAGGAGGAAGTGGAGTGCGCATGCGCGCGAAGAAGTCGTGTTTTTCACGAGGGGAATAAAAAATCCTCTTATTTAATTAACTTCTTGACTACAAGTGACTTTTAAATACACCAATTACTTGCTAAATATCCCTTTTAATATAAGAAACATGTTTTTTTGTGCTCACGTAAGTCAGGTATCACCATGTGAACGTTAAAACCCCACGAGGCTGTGCACCATACCCCACCCACTTGCCCACAACGCTACAAGATGGCGCCGACTCTATCGCCAGTTTTCGTTTCCTTTTACTGTTGGTATTTTCTTGAGAAAAACCATTAACTACAGCCAACAACAGACCCCAAGAAACATTATATCAAACATGGGATGTGTGAAATGTGTCTTAAACAACAATGAGAATTTTCCACCATAGAAATAGGCCCTTCCTAGACCCGAGGAAGACTTTACCTGTCTTTATTCTATTACTGGCTGGAGACATTGAACAGAACCCTGGCCCAGGTGATAAAAGTACTTGGCCATGTGCATTGTGTGACATGCCGGTCACATGGACCCAGCAAGGAGTAGAATGTTTTGATTGTGATATCTGGTACCATCAGTCCTGTTTATCTATGTGTAGTGGTGACCGAAAAAACCTAGACAGACCTAGCGTAGTATGGAAATGTTGTAAATGTGACAGTTTAAATTGTGATAGTTTTACATTCCACAGTTATGAACTACAGTTATCCAATACTTTTGAGCCAATCTCAATGCTAGATTGTACTCTAGACTCAGTAAACAATGAAGTCTTCTCCCCTCTCCACACCAGCAGTCCTAAGCAGCCGAACACCAGTAACAGTATACCCATAAGCTCATTACACAGAACCAGGTCTAAAAAATCAACTCTACATGAGGACCCATATAACTTACCAAAGAAACAGAACCTTCGTATCCTTAACGTTAATTGCAGGAGTATTCGTGATAAAACCTCGGAATTTAAAGCTGCTGTGAACTATATAAAACCAGATGTAATCTGTGGAACAGAGTCTTGGCTCCATGGAGTAAAACCAGGCAAAAACCCAACACTAAATGCAATTAAATCTTCAGAAATATTCCCTGAAAATTACGTTATCTATAGAAATGACAGAGAAACTAAAGGAGGTGGTGTTTTCATAGCCATACATACTGACTTATCCTCCACAGAATGTGTTGAATTTGTGACGGATTGTGAACTTTCTGTGGCAAAAATATGTGTAAAATCCTTAAAAACTATATACGTTAGCACCTTCTATATGCCTAAAAGGAACATTAAAGACATAAATAACCTGAAAAAATCACTCGACTTGATAAATGAAGGTAAACCAAAAGAAATTATACTATGTGGTGACTTTAACTGCCCAGATATTGAATGGGATAGGCTGTGTGTTAATACCAAAGATGCCCAAGACAGAACTGTACAGCAACAATTGATTGATATAACATCAGAACACAATCTCACACAGATCCACAGAGAACCAACAAGACAAGGAAACCTATTATATCTGACTTTTACTACAAATACATCGCTTGTGAAAGCATCCTCTAACGTACCTGGCATATCAGACCACGACCATGGTAGTCCATTGACACTGAAATCAAACCCACGTATATAAAAAAAGAAACCTAGGAAAATTTACAAATATAATAAAGCTGACTGGGAAACCATAAAAAAAGACTGCCTCGAGCTGTCCGAGGAGATACAGACTATGTCTCATACAGGACCACACAAAATTGAAGACCTATGGACATTGTTCAAAAACCGAATTCATTCTAGTATTGAAAAGAATGTACAATCGAAAACTCAAAGACACATCAACAAACTACCCTGGCTCAACCATAACCTCAAAAAGAATCTAAAGAAAAAAGATAGGCTTTATAAACAAGCAAAGAAAACAGGATCATGGACTAAATTCAACAATTCCAAAAAGAATGCAAGAGGGATATGCGCAGGGCTGAATGGGACCATGTAAACAGGATCATCACTGAGGGTATGGAAAAGAAAAACTCTAAACCATTTTGGAACTACATCAAGTCGAAAAAACAGGACAACATTGGGATTGCTCCCCTAAAGAAGAAAGGAAATCTCTTCTCGGACTCTAAAAGCAAAGCAGAAATACTACTAGATCAATTTAAATCAGTATTCACCAAAGACAACAGTAATTATCTACCTGAGATGAAAGAGAAAAACAAATACCCTACTATAAGTAAACTTACTATAAAACCAGATGGTGTGCTGAAACTACTTAAAGACATAAACATTAACAAAGCAAATGGCCCAGACAACCTACCAAACATTATTCTCAAAAACTGTGCAAATGAACTAGCGAATGGCCTAAGTTGCATTTCTCAGCTCTCTATTGACACGGGTGAACTCCCAAGGGATTGGAGGGATGCAAACGTTACCCCAGTCTTCAAGAAAGGCGACAGGCACTCAGCTGAAAACTATCGACCAGTGAGTCTTACATCAGTTCCAAGTAAGATCTTAGAACACATCATATGCAGCCACTTACTTAAACACCTGGAAAAACATCGTATATTAACGTCACTTAACCACGGTTTTCGCTCCGGTTTTTCAACAGAAACACAACTACTAGTAACTATGCATGACCTACTTTCATCTTTCGAAAGAAAACAGCAAGTAGACGTCGCCATTCTGGACTTCTCCAAGGCGTTTGATACCGTCCCCCATGATCGTCTGCTTTGGAAAATAGAGAACTATGGAATTAAAGGAGAACTACTAACCTGGCTGTCGTCCTTCTTGAAAGAGAGAACAATGAATATAGTAGTCGAGGGAGAACATTCCAAGAGCACCCATGTTGAATCGGGCGTGCCCCAAGGTACTGTACTAGGACCACTGATGTTCCTTTTTCACATAAATGACCTACCATTAAGCGTTAAATCACAAGTCAGACTGTTCGCAGACGATTGCCTCCTCTATAGAGAAATTAAAAACCACAAAGATCACATAACTTTACAAAAAGACCTTAAAAACCTTGAGAACTGGGCGTCAGAGTGGGGAATGAGGTTCAACGCTGGTAAATGCTATATACTGAGCATCAAAAACAAGACATCACACTTCTATGAACTCGATAATACTATCTTAAAACACGTGGACTCAAATCCTTATCTTGGTGTACTTATCTCCAACGATCTGACATGGACCAACCATATTACAAATATATGTAAAAAAGCAAGTTCAACCTTGGCTTTCTTAGAAGAAATTTGAAACATTGCCCTCTAGATTGTAGAAAAACAGCCTTTATAGCCCTTGTACGTTCGAAAATAGAATACGCTTCAATCATCTGGGACCCGTTCTTGAAAAAAGATATTGATAAACTGGAAAATATACAAAGATTAGGAGCAAGATTCATTATGAATGACTACAAGTCAAGAAAACCAGGATGTGTTACAGATATGCTGACCAGCTTGAAACTCGACTCACTACAAGACCGTAGGACCTACAACCGTCTTGTAATGCTCTACAAGATAGCAGGGGGTATGGTGCCAGCAGTGGACCCTGATAAATACCTGACTCAGAAAGTTGAGGGACGCTTAATTAAACCAAAGAGATTCAGTGACTGTGAAACCACAAACATTATAAGAGTAGCCAATAACACTAGATCATTTAAAACTATAAACGCACAAACAAATCAATTTAAAAACTCTTTCTTTGTGAAAACACTTGAGGATTGGAACCATCTGGAAGATTCAGTTGTGCATGCAGTTACAATAGAGGGCTTCAAATCAGCCCTTCAGAAACTCGACTAGAGTTCCTCCACTCCCCGTAGGACATATACCAGAAGTGGTCCTCCTACGTATTCACACAGATACAGATACAGACAGATATATTATATATGTGTGTGTCTAAGCTCTGATTAAATCTATATCTATTTCATCTGTGTTTTTTCTGTGTTTGAGATAATTTAGAGTATTTTCGATTTATCTAAAATCTATTAATTACCGATATAATACAGAAATTTTTATTGGTTAATCTGTTGGGTCATTCTTTAGGTGTTTGTATTTTTCGGGTCACTGATTTAGTTGTATTCCTACGCGTTGTTATAAATTCAGTCATCTTTTCGCGGTCTTTACAGTTCTTAGACACATTTTGGTTGATACAGATCTTTTTTCGCCTCTCCCTCCCAACCCATTTTATTTTTGTTTGCTTGTTTTTGTAAAGTCAGTAAGACTTTCTTATTTTTGTTTAATTTATGTTTAATTTAAAGTCAGTTCGACTTTTATTTTATGTTATTTTCTGTTATGTGCGATTTTTGATCTGTGTTCATTTAATTCTATATTTTCATTGGTCTGAAATTAGTCATAATTATATCTGTTCAAGTTGATGATTTGTCTTACCTTTAGACTGATTGCATAGTACATTTCATTGTTTATTCAGACATCACTTTAGTGTTTATTTGATATATATCATATATGTGTGTGTCTAAGCTCTGATTAAATCTATATTTATTTCAACTGTGTTTTTTCTGTGTTTGAGATAATTTCCATCCAACCACTTGTATGTAGGTAGAACTAACTATAGAAATGCCAGTTTTAAAGCAGTTTTTAAACTGGATCTTCCATTTTGTCTCTTTTTAAAGACATAATTTTCTATGATATATTGTGCAGCAATGAATTGTTCTTAACACAACCAAGGGATCAACTTGCAACAAGTTAATGGCTGTGTTTATAAGTTAAGTCATTTTTTAGCTTGACTATATCAAGTATATGGAGAGCTGTCATACTCGTCCCGCATCCAGATTTCAGATTAAAGTTTTGGTGCAGTAAAATAGTTTTCTCTACAACTTTTTCATTTCTTAAGGTATCAACTTCAAACTTCTAATATATGTACCTTATCATCAACCACATCTGATGTGACAAGGTTCTTAACTCTAGCACCAATATTTTAAGATTTTTCTCCCCTTGAAGTTACAATTTTTCTTAAAAAATATTATTTTTTACTTGTTCTTCTTTATTTCTTAAGGGATCAACTTCATACTTCAAATATATTTTCTTTATCATCAACCACATCTTATGTGACAAGGTTTATAACTCTAGCACCAATATTTCTGATTTATCCCCCCTTGATTTTAGAATTTTCCTCAAAAAATATTTTTTTTACTGTTACTTCTTTATTTCTTTATACTTCAAATAAATGTTTTTTATCATTAACCACATCTTATGTGACGAGGTTCATAACTCTAGCACCAATATTGCAAGAACTATCTCCCCATTTACTTAGATTTTTTACTTGAAAATGTTATTTTGTACTATAATATCTTTAGTTTAAAAGGTATCTGAATTAAACATCAAATAATTGTAAATTACACCTTGAAATTTTATAATATTTTTACATGATACGATTAAATAACATTTTTTCTCTGTAAAATCAATTTTTATTTTGTCATTGAACAATGCACGAATATAAAATGAAGCTCCTGAATCTCGGACCTGTTTTCAAATATGAGCAGTAGATTTTTATCTTGACACCGGGAATGAAAAATTCCTAACTTCATTGCAAATCTATAAAATTGTTACTTTTTAAAGTAAAAACTGATAATATAATGTAGCTAGGGTTAGTTTTTAGTATTTATTTGATTGATTTAACAAAACATTATTGTATAATTTGATTTTTGAATTGTGATGTACTCTGCCAGGTTACTGCCGGTAGTTAACCTAATTACGTGACTCAACCGAGGCATCTTTTTTTCTTTAAAATTTGTCAGACTCCAGACCATTCTATATGAAAGACCCTGGTCTTCCTTACTGAGTCCAGTATTTAATTAGTCGAGCTTCCTTGTCTATTGTGACAGCTCTTTTTTAGTTGTAGTAAACAAAAAAATCTAAACATGTTCTGATGTATTTATTAGGTTACATTTACAAGGAGATCTATGTGATGACAAAGACAGTTGGTCAGATGACAGTGAAGACAGCAATAGTCACATTCAGATGGCTTTTCATGTAGAAACTAATCATGATGTTATGTCACTTAAGTTTGAGAAGTAAGTATATTTGCTGTTGGACACTATTCCCCACAAATTAACTATTTATTTAATTTATTACTTAGAACCTTTAATAATTGGTTATACTCCCACCTATAGTCTTTAATCGTAACCAGTTATTCTTCATTTGATTAGGTTGTTTATGGCTTTACTTTTCAGTGTCAAATAATTGAATTTTGGTTAAATTGTAGTAATTTTGTTTTTATTTTTGGATTTTAATTATGCTCGGACAAAACAAGATTTGGTACAAAAAAAAAGAGTCTCTGGAGGCCAAATTAATGAAAATCTGACACTCATTGAATTTAGCACTGTGGCCCATGGTCAGTGAAAATTAGTTCGGGTCAGTAAAAATTGAAATTTTTTTTTTTTATCAAATATATAGTAAAATAAATTCAAAACTGGAATTCAGGCTAGTAATTACAAAAACTAAAATACATTGACTGAAATCTCGTTTTATTTTGTAACTCGCTATAACTTTGTTATTAATAAAGGAATAAATCTCATATTTAGACACAACATCTTTTAGGTCAGGACCTTGATATATATTAAACTCATATTGACCTTGACTCATGTATGACCTTGACCTTGAAGGTCACATTATTTAATTTTCGCTGATTATCATTATACATGTTATTGGCCGTAATTTGGTAATTAATCAATGAATTATTTTCATACCTGGCCAAACAGCCTTTTGGACAAGACCTCCTGAAAGATTGAACTGACCTTGACCGTCAAGGTGAAAGTATTGAATTTCGGTTAAGTGGTCATTATTTTGTTATTTATGTACGAATTTGATTCATACATGGAGAAAACAATGATTATGACCAAGCGACCGTGTTGAATAATTTAAATATGGCCTTGACCTTTAAATGACCTTGTCCATCAAATGATTGAATTTTAGTTATATTTTCTTAACTTTGTCATTTATTTATGGAAATAATTCATACTTGAACAAAACAACAATTTCAGACAGTTGCTCTTGTATAAAAATGCAACCACATTTAGTCATTTAGATATTGGACATTTCTGTAATACATGTATTTATAAGACTTGAAATTTAAATTATGTTGTTTTTTAATGCAGGAATGCCACCAAGGTATGTCAAACACCAGTAGCACCTGCCAAGCAGCAAAGCTCTACAATGAAAACACCTGTAACGCCTGCCAAAGAGCAAAGCTCTACAATGAAAACACCTGTAACGCGTGCCAAAGAGCAAAGCTCTACAATGAAAACACCTGTAACGCCTGCCAAAGAGCAAAGCTCTACAATGAAAACACCTGTAACGCCTGCCAAAGAGCAAAGCTCTACAATGAAAACATCAGCAGCACTGAAATACAGACATTCTTAAGTCAAACTAGCTTCAAGATTTCCATGTCGAACTAGGACAGGAATGAGTTGTGCAGTTGACACCGCATGGCCGAAGCGTGGCTTTGAAAGTTTGACTGGTATTTATCCATTTTTGTATATTGGGTGTTTTATTAAATTACTGAATAGTATTGAATACTGACCAGTGAGTAGTTCAAACATTGAAGCAGTTGTTTTTGGTCAGTGTTATGTATCTATACAGTTACTGAATGACCTGCCAGGCATTTAAATAATGGTTTAAGAGCATATGCTTTTTATCAGAAGATAGTGTTGAATGTTAAATTATTTGTCATAAAAGTAGCAAATTGTTAACAAAGAAGCATTTTGATTTCCATACAAAATACTATATCAGTATAAATGTATTAATTGCCAAAAAAAAAGCAACTGAAGCAGTCCAGGTAAGAGGCAAATTGGAACCTTTTAAGAAACAGTAACAGGACACCCAAAAGAAACAGCTTCTGAGAAATAAAACTATGATCATTTCTAGGGCATAATGGGCCTTTAACCATGATGAGCATTAAACCAGTTAATAGCACAAAATATTGATGAGCAATTTATTTAAGAAATCCTGTCATAGTCAGAAGTTTTGCACAAAGTCCAAATACTGGATGCAAAAACGTTTGGTGAGCCATTCATTGAGTGTTATTTTTTTACTTCTGATTTCAGCTCACACATTCTTTATGAGCAAGTCCTCTTATGGTAAACAAGTTGTTAAGACAGTTGTTGGTCACAGAGCCTGTGGAGTTTGTAATTGGTAACAGGCCATTACTGAAAGTACGGAAACACTGTTGTGTCAGAAATCATACTGGAAGCGCCAGGTTAATGGAAAGTGTTTGTGGAGTTAAAGGGGTTAAAGAACTACATGAGCAAAGGACACCTGTAGAGATTTTGGAGGGAGATGGTGATAACACACTTATAGCCAGACTCAAAAATGATTTGAATGTTAATATGAAGAAACGATTTGATAAAAATCATGTTGTTAAGAATGTTGGAAAGAGTCTGTATGCATTACGTTCTGACAAAAGTGTTAAACTGAGTAAAAACGTTATAGTTCATATTGAAAAGTGTTTAAAGTATGCCTTTGCAAAAAATCAAGGTAATGCTGAATATTTACAGGAAAACCTGAAAGCTTTAGTGCCCCATCCGTTTGGGGACCATTCTCACTGCAAGGAACGTTTCTGTGGCTTTATGAAAAAGGGTGAAAATTACGAACATTCTACCATACAAAGTCCCATTGCAGGATGAAGCACTGCGTGCCAAACTACAAACAAGTAAAATGGTTTCCTGCGGGGAACATTTTTAAAGATATAAAGATATTTCATTTAACTATTTTCAACATTGTTTGGGGGGGACAAATAAACGTTTGTATCAGGAATATAGTTGACAATAATCGATCAATATAGAGGAAGGTCTTTGAAAACTGGTGATCGTTGAAGACCGGAGAAGGCCGAACATAAAACAATTATTTCTTTTTTAAGAAAATGATTAAATATGCCTACCATTTTATGAATAATTCCGAGCAAAGAAAATTAATTTAAAAACACAAGTTTACGCAGAAAATACCTCTATTTATTATGGCAGATGCCACTACGAATATTTTAATTTTGTAGATTTTCAGTATAAACAATTTATTGTTTGTACAATTTGAGATAGATATTAAAGAAACATTGAAATTTTCAAACACATCATTCAAGTTTTTTCCACCTTAAACGGTAAAATAATTATAGAAAATTAGAAATACAACGTAATAGTTTTTTGTTCTTTATTAGGTGTAATTCGGACTATGACCCTAGAGGTAAATCCGTAACGTACCGGCACACGGTATTTAGCTAGGTATTCAAAAAGGTCAATTAACCAATATGTACGGTTTACAGATCACATGCTCCTCCATGTACCGAAAACAGGTCACGTGCTCCTCCATGCCTCAAAAGTTAAACGCGTACCAATACCCTGCGGTCTCCAGACCGCAGGGAAAAATCTTTGACCCACTCATTCACAACGCCCATCAATATGCAGATCTTGGATCCTCACAGCAATGTGAACATGCTAACAAAGAGGTCACGCTTAGGGCCCCAAAATGTCACTATTATGGAAATACCAAAAGCTTAGACTACCGTATTCATGCGACTGCAGCCTTCATCAACGAGGGTAGATCCTACATATCTAAGGTAATTTTTGTTAATACAGATCAGTTTAAAATTAGTTTTTATTGTAAATGTTTTACACTGAAGAGAAAAGATTCTTGATTTCATAGGATTTCTTTTTTATTGTTACAAGTTATTGATATTGATCAGTTTGTTGTTTATTTTGAATTTGTTTATATTTTCTTTTGTTTTGTTCTTTAATTCAGTTGTTCCATAGTCCTAGAAGATTTTACAACTATATTACTAACTGTGAATATTCATAAGGTAAGTTTGCACAGTTGAATTTACAACATATACATGTATATTACTGGCAGAAATGGTATCCTTGGTGCGCTATTGGATGTTTTATAGTTGTAACTGTACTTAGCATAAAATATTCAAGAAACATGATTTAATATTAAGTGTATCATAAGTATTGAAAACATGATTGAACATAAACACAATACAAAGTTTAGTCATTTTAACTTCAGATTGTTACATGAAGCTTATTTTATATATATAATTGAAATTGTGGTAAACTGTATTGCTGTAGGTATTTTGTTTTAAAATAAGAAACATTTATAGGCAAACAGAATTGCCTAAAGTTATTTGTTAATTTGAAGTTACTTTTTTAATAGGGATATTCTAAAGCTGGTTTGTCACCAGGAGTACATACTAAAAAGTATGCTGACAAATGCATGAAGCGGAGATTATACAAGCAGGAGAAAGCAAAATTACCGTCAACAAAACGGAGGCGTCTATTTCTTAAGAAAGAACGAGCTATATGTCAAGGAGCTAATGAGGCCTTGGAGGGTGTGTCCTACCAGTCAGGTATGTAAGTTAGGTCATACTTCTACAAACATGGAATATTTCCAAAAGTTTCTCTCAATAATTACATGGTAATATCATTGTATCATTATCTTTCCATTTTCATGCAGGTATTTGTACTGTAACAATATGTGTAATAAACTAAATAACTGGTACAGTTTTTCAAAGTAATGACGATTCAAACACTGACAAAGACATAGCGGTATTATCTGCTCTTGTTCTTTAAAAAGTTGACCTATTCAAAATATCCGAATTTTTCGTTACGTTTATTTGGCTTTATTTTATCTTCCATTGTTTACATTTTATAGGAATTGGTCACGAAGTAAATGTTGATGTGGAAAAGCTGCCAGATCCTATTCCTCGTGGCAACTTGCAGCCAGTTGAAAAACTTCTGTCTGGCCAAACCCAACAACTATATTCTCCTTGAAACCTAGAAACTTATGACCCTTAGTAAAGTGCTTCAATATTTTGTCTCGAAACCATTTAGTTCCACTTTCCACAAAAATATTTTTTGGTAAAGTATTTGTTTATTGCCGAGTTTCATTTAGCACTTTTTTTATAGTAGCTTATGAATTCATGAATTACATGCTTGTTAATTTGTTCCAGCATACAGTGCTCTTATTATAAATTTGTTTACCTAAAAATAATAAGGTCATACAGAAAATGATATGTAAATGAAATTACTTAGCAATAGTTCCAGTCTAAACATATTGCATTTTTTTTTAACTTTGTGCAAATTTCTTTTTATCTCAATTTTTTTTTTATTATCTTTTTTCCTAATAGATTTTAAAAAGACAATTTTTGTAGTTTAGTAGAAACAACTTTATTAGTACACAAAACTGTTATGTTTCAGTTGGTGGTGGTATCATGCCACATATTACACAAATAGCTGCAGTAAACATACAGTCTGGTCAGAAGTTCAACTCCTATGTTATACCCAGATTACCAATTACAGCAGAGGCACAGACTATCACAGGCATTTCCATGGCGGACAATAATACAATGAAAGTAAATGGAAGCATTGTTGAAGCTGTTCCCATTCAAACAGCTCTGCAAAATCTCTGTGTCTGGCTTGAGAAGTTTTCTCATGGTTCCTTTGTGGCCAAATAATTTGGTAGAAAGATTTGGACCTTTTTCCTTCCTCATTTTTGTCACTGGATAATTTTTTGGATTAAAAAAAATAGATTTTCAGTTTGTTGTACAGGGGAAAGATTGACCTCTTTAGCATATTCAAGAAAGCGGTATCCAAACCAGTTCATAAGAAGAAGATTAGTGAGAATCTTTACTTTGGTATTACATATGAATGCTTCATAATGCTAGGGCGAATGTTGTGCCTCGGGTCAACTCTTTGACATTTTTGAACTTACCTACAAAAGATATTCTGTCTTACAGCTTCACACCATTAGCTGTTCGTAACAGTATTTTGTGTAATAAACAGAAAGGCTTGAACATGAAGAGCCTTGAACCACTAATTTTTAATGGGATATGTAAAAGGCCAACCGCAGAAAATATTGCTGGGTCAGGGTTGCGGTTGTGCCATTTAACAAGTATATATAAGCGTGCTGGTGAGGATAGCTTGAGAGACACTTTCACAGCCAAGAACAGTGAAGGTCAACCAAGAGTCACTAGAGTGAAGTCACGCTTGGATGCATTTTTGCCAAAACTTACTGACTTTCTGAGCAAACTCTAATTATTTCATGCTTTCCAGTGTTTTACTATAATGTATCTGTAATGTAAAGCACTAGTGAAATTTATAAAATATAATTTTCACTGTAGCCAAACTATATCTGATTGCGGATGAAATTACTTAAAAGCATGAAATAAAATGAAAATTTATTTGTTTTACATATAAGATTGAAATATATTTCATTCGTGAACACCAGCTATTCTATTTTCATTTGTTGCTACGCCACTTGTGAAAATATTGCATCTGTGTGCACTCAGTGAAATATATTTCAATCTTACATGCAAAACAAACATATATACTCTATTTGTTCGATGTTCAGACTCGGCTCAAACTTTCATACATACACAATGTAAATGGATCATAAATATCATTTTGAGTGAATGGACTTAGCTCATAATTTCATACCATAAGGAAATATAATTAACATTGCTATATCCATTGATCACTGCCATATACTGAAAACTTTGTTAAACATTTCTTTAGAGTTTGTTAGGTGTGAACTGTAATTTCCCTATATTGCACAAAATACTGTTATGAACAGCTTGATATAGTTTTGCTTAACACATTATGTTAACAAAGTAATATGTCTTTATTTTTTTAGCGCCAGACATAAAATATTAAGAGGATATTTTTTCGTTTTTTTCGTGAAATATGGAATATATTTTCACGAAACATGATAAAATGCCACATATTTTCATGAGCGGTGACGGCGAGTGAAAATATGTAGCATTTTATCATGTTGAGTGAAAATATACACAATATTTCAAGAAAAACGAAAAAAAATAACCTTTTAATTTAATTTTCATTATCAAAGAAAAATGGTTACAAACCCCCTTGCTTGCTTACCGCAACTGGCAAATTGTACCAGCGCGCAGTAAATATAATTATTGTCTTGTTTTGCAACATCATATTTAGTGCTACATTTTGACATCACGTAAACAAATCTTTAAACGTCTGTACTGCGATAATGACTGAATTAAAGATATTGGTATTCGGATAAATGTTCTAAGTTTATCATTCTAGATAGATCTAGTTTTCAAAACAAAATTCAACAAAAAGTTGTTTTTGTATTTATCAGATTTTTTAAACCAAATGGCGGTTGATAGTTACTTAAAAAATGAGTTTTCTGACTCCACCCACTTTTTCATATTTATATTCATATTTATTTTTGAAAAATATGAAATGTATTTGATATAGCACCATATTTCATGGGTAAAATTACGTAAAGTTTTATATACATATTAAAAGAAGACATTGTAGCTCGTTTATTATTTCCTTCCTTAAATATTTAATACAATGTAATATCAAATTTTCAGACAAATTGTAGTTTACGTGCTTTTGTACTTGCCATAAAAAATTAAATAAAAAGTTTCCATTTTTGATGATTTTTTGTCAGAAATGCATGAGTTTGTGCATGTTTGATTTATTTTTATTCTAACTATTAACATTCCTGAAAGTTTTAGAATAGTCATGGCAAAAAATAAAAGTTACAAACATGCATATGGGTGTTGGTTATGCCTGAATTTTTTTTTTTCAAAATTCCAATCTTTAACCAATATATGTACTTGGTAAAAACTTAGATATCGTTCAACATACTTTGGAGACTTAAAAAGTGAAAATTAAAAAATCTTAAAATGAACATCTTTATTATTTCAGTGGTAATCTATTTTTACAAACAAAAATTTTTTTTTTCATTCATGTGCAATTCAAGCTGATTAATTTGAATAATGTGATATTGTTATTTTCAGTTTGGTTCATGATTCAATATACATGTAATAGCTGGTTGAAAGTGTTCATACTATGTATGTATGTATGTATGTATGTATGTATGTATATATGTATGTATGTATGTATGTATGTATGTATGTATGTATGTATGTATGTATGTATGTATGTATGTATGTATGTATGTATGTATGTATGTATGTATGTATGTATGTATGTATGAATACAAGAAAAACAAATCATACGTTTAGTTTTTATTAACATCCTTTATTGAATTTTAAATAATTCCACATAATTTAATTTAAGAATATGGAACATCTTACACTTTGGTGGTGAAAATGCTTAACTTCTTCAAGAAAATTAGTCCTCAGTTTTGGACACTACTTAAATTGAAAATGTTCTTACAAAATATCTAGACGGTAAAACATTCCCATATTTAAACAAAATGTGGAGAATAGTATACTTATAAAATTTAAATATCCAAAAGTGATGCCCCAACAGTATTTTTGTGCAAAATTGTAGAGTTTTATGTCTGTTGCATAGCAACTTGGGCTAAATTTAAACAATTTTATGTTTGATCTAAAAATGAAAAACATTAATTTTGAATTCTCATGGAATAATTTTTATATTTATATTCTTGTTGTAATTCTCCAATGTATACATTACATTTTGATATCAAATTTGACTATTTTGATGTATAGTCAAGATCTGTTATTTTCGGTTTACCTTTGGTGGGTGGGGTAAGCAAAATTTGCGTTTTCAGAAAAAGGGGTGTGTCAAAGAAACATAAAAAAAAATTTTTTGGGTGGTGAAATTCCTTAAAAATTTGTAAACAGATGAGATAGATGATGTACTTTTGGAAAATAATAAGTTTATTTATGTTTGGAATAGTGCCCATTAGGGGTGTACTACCTTAATTAAATCTTTGCGTAGAATTTATAAAGCTTACTGATATTTTCACTTTGAACAAATGATTTTGATTATTTTAAATAATGGTCTGCTAGTACAATTGCCTTTTTGACACCAACTTTGTTGTCATTTTTCATTTTAATGATAATATTAAATTTTTAGCTATTGATCAGTAATTAAATAAGAATTATATTTTTTTTATAATTACCGAGTACATTTCACGCTAATTGTGAGACGAACCCTTAATGACGTCTATATGGGCGCCGCCATTTTGAAATGTAAGTCAACGGGAAAAAATATAAATTTTAACTTTTTGACCATATTACTGACTTTATGAAAGAAATGAAAACATGCATAGAGATATTGACGTCAGTGTTAAGATGACATTATTTAAATGATTTTACTATTAAATTAAATAAAAAATGGAATGTTCAAATTTGATTTGACAGACTATATAGCACGGTGACGTGTAGCTTATCATAATAATGATAGCATGACGTCACAAGAGTGATTTTTGGGAGTACTTTAATTTTTACAGGAGAGTAATATTTATAAAAAAACAGACATTTAGCGTTAACATTGCAACATTTAACGGTCCTGATTTTTTGTGTGTGGCATTCAGCGCTCAAAGTTCAATATTTACCATCAAGGCGATTGTGACATTTATAGCCATCCTTTGAAATTTAGAGGCGATGCGATATTTTACGTTGATAGAACACATTACAAAGTTTGAAACAGACATCTTAGTGGTCATACTATTTTGTAAGTACTTTAAATAACGTTTCCTGGACAGTGAAGTGTATAATAAAACTAATTGCGATATTTAGCGTTGATTTTGCGACATTAAGGTAAGATTTCCCTTATGCATAACCTCCGCCTTGAAGATTATTCAAATTGGCTAGAATTAGATCTAAGTACTGTCCATTGATTGCACTAAAACTGTGAGACATGAGTTTAAACCCCAGAAGGGGCATTTTTTCCTTATTTTTATTTTTTTAACATTATTCATGTATCTCTCAGATCCCCTTTGGAAAGGAAAATCGTTTGATTTTTTAATATATTATTATTGTAGACCTGTATTTATTGGTTAAATAATGCAAAATTTAATAGCAATTATGGTACCTGATATTTTCAAAGTATAATAAAATAAAAAATAAATAAAGTATTTTATATTTTGGAAGATCAACCAAAATATATTCAAGAAAATTTAGACAGACCCTCATTGTTGTAAATTTTAGGTATATTTAGACTTTTTAAAAGTTTAAAGTGGGTGGCGCATGGAAACATTTTTATACATATTTCAAACATATTGTACAAACAATCATTTTGTTTGTGTGATTTGTTATCTGAATGCTAAAATATTATTTGTTTCTTAATAATGATCAATAGGAAAATATCTTTCATAATGATTATACGTTACAGATTATTTTAGAGTTTCCTTATTTCTGAAAAAGAGCCCTTCTAAAAGCAAAGTTTTAGTCATAACTCATAAACAGTAAACTTAAACGTTGGATAGTGGAATCCTTTAAGACATATTACTGTCCTATGTTGTCAAATTTACAGTTCCTTATAATGTCCATTAGAGGTGTCTTACGTTCAGTCCAGTTTGTGAAAGTGCGATGTGTAACCTTAGGTTTATATAGCGTCATTTAGCGTTATTGCGACATTTAGTGTCAACCTTGCAACATTTAAATTCAGATGCGACATTAAGAGGCGACTCGACTTTCAACGTTGCTGTTCAAGATCTTCCAAAATTTAAGGTACACACTACTCGATAACGTTAACAACA